TCAGTACTATTATTAAAAACTACCAACTCACGGTTTAACTTGTGCACAGTGAATGGTTAGATAACTGGCATTTTGTCTTCGCCTCGTTTTGTTTAAGTGCAAATGTTTACGTTACATAATCTGCAATCTATACGAAATCAACATCACAGCCGAATTGGCGTACCACACATTATCTTGAAAATGCGTCCCATGTTTGTAGGTACGTTTTATAAAGTTATTTTTTCTTAATGAAACGTTTGATTACCCATATTTACACACTTCTTGATGTCCAGACCTGTCGCAAAAAACGAATTTAAATCTGTGCAAAGTTTACTTTAAAAAATGAAATCATGAAAACATTAAATCTGCATAACAAAAAAAAATCTTTCATTTCAGCGTTAATTTGTTATGTAAATTTTGGAGTGATTAACCGGGGAGATCATCAATATTCAAACCTACCGGAGACAACTTGAAATTTGAGCCTGTGTATTCGATAGCATTACGGGGCATTACCATTTGACCCCTAATGCCTGCTGTACAGTGCTAGAAACTCAAATTCACTTGACAGCTTATAGTGTCAATAGTATTTTTGACATCGCAATCGTTTCCAAGGGTAAAATGTTGAATGTTGCCTCGATACTGAAATTGCACGCGATACGCCATTTTCTAATAGAAATATATCTATTATGAATATGTTCAAGAACCGACCTCACTATATTGTATTACAGTTACTGTAATTAAGAAAAATGCAAAGTGCCCATGTATGCTTTCTACTATATTTTGCATGATTTATTCCAACTATTTAACCACAACGAACGCCTAGTAACTTTATTAACAACGGACGTCCCACCCTCGGGGCTGTTATAATGCCACACAGCGGGTCGTTGTCTATTCACGTAGAGACATCCATCTGCATAGCTGACTTTTTATCACTGAAGCTGATAGTAAATGTAATAGTTATTGCACATGCAAATTTGTTTATTAATACTACAAGAATAATTAAAGACTAGTGTCAGATAGTCTACATACAAACTATACACCGATGATACTAGTACGTCAATCCATTTTAGTAAACTTTTGTTATGATATAAAATACAGATATTGAACGGGTTAATATCATACTGATGCACTTACTACAGTAAAATTGCGCAAATATTTTGCTTACAAATTTATATGTTTCTGGTTAAATACCGACCCTAGTTTGTCTCCAAACGCATATTACCCAGGGTATCATAAACCAGTCGACAATCACGGAAACAAGTCACATTTTATTTATAATCGGCGGACAGTTTTATAGGAGGAGTACGTGTGTCTTACTACCCACCACCAGAAGAAAAGGTGCCAGGACTAATACATTGAGGCCGGCAGTGAATACAGTAATTAGGCTGACGTAATATTAGCGTCTAAACAGTACCTAAATTTGCTACTTACATTTATAATTTACTTTCGATCTTTCGAACAATAAGGCCAAATTATACGATAAAATTTCCATCAATAAAGACAAACCTGTGAATAACTGGAGAACCGTGTTGGTTGTAAAACATTTAAAGAACGGTGGTCGTCGTTGCTATGACGTGTAGAATTTTAGGCTGTATTGAACACAGACGGTCGTTTCACTGCGGGAGTGTGCATACAGTCTCTCACGTAGTGTGAGAATTACAGTTTGTAAGATAATGTGGGAACACTCACTTATTTTAGTAAGTGTGCCATGTCTGTCATGTCAGGGAGCACAGTTTCCTAAAATGTATGGAACACACAGCATGTCTGACGTGTGGGGCTTTATCTGTTTTGCGGTAATTCCTGCATTACTTAAATGGTATGCAAATTGTTTGCTTTCAAACTGAACACGTATTTGTTGTGGACATGTTTAAATGTCAATTAAAGAATATTGTATTCACAACTCACTACGATGCAAAATGTATTGAATTTGTACAATTTCCTCTCAAACTGGATCTACATTGTTGATACACTGAGTATGATATAATATTCTTCAAACTTTCAGAAGAATTCCTTGTATTTCGTACAACATTTTGCCAAAGTTTAATATAGACAATAAATTAGCAAACACAAAAAACCGTGATCATTTTAGTGGCCAAGAAAGGTATTTTGGAAATGCAATATCATTTCGTTATACTTTCAAAATGCTTAAATGTTTGAAATTAGAAAACACAAAAATCGCCGAAATGCCAATGTTCTTTTTAACCTAAACAATAACACTTGTACAATAACACTCGTATTCTTGCAAATAACTTTCAATTTAGTGACATTGCATTGTCGTCTCTTCGCTATGCCACTGTTGCTCTATATTAAGTATTTTGAAACTGAGGGGCATCGAAAAAAGCTAAACTGATGACTAAATAAAACCTTAAGGTTGATCTGAATCTGATTAGAATTTGAGGAAATCCGGGTTATGCCACACCGACTTAATTTTATGACATTAGCGCGCGCATTAGTTTTCGAGTGAATTTAGCCCAGACAACTTTAAGAACATATTGTGCAAAGTAACGTTTTCCCTGCAAAATGAAAGAAATGGGAGAAGAGTGGAGGTGTATGATGGCCTAAAAGTTGGTCAGGCGACAAGTCAGTTCGGTTGCTTTGTCCGCATTGAAGTTGTCAAAACTGCAACGAAAGCAGAGGAGCTCCTCGGCCGAAGTCCTCTTTCGAGGTGAAGAAAATATTTTCTTCTTATTTTTTATTTCATTTTCTGATTCGGATAATTTGCTTGCACACACAGTGCAATGTTTTGTTAGTTATTGTCATAAAGTAGTGGTATGTACATTCCGCCTTGACTTGCACTGGAAATGGTGTTCATGCTGTACCTTGAATGCAGTGTTTCTGACTGAAGGTACTTCAGTATGACTACATGTACTAGAGCTTGTCTGAAATGGTTATACATGTGACAGTAATACAGTACGAGATGTGTACATCAACATGTGCCTCCTACAAATAAAGACTTGTTTTTTTTTGATACACTGTTCCGTGGTTCAATTCGTAATACCAGCTCCGTAGTCCTGTGGTTTTAGCAGCATTTTTTTGACAGGATTTTTTTTCGCCCTCTCGCATTAGTTTTGGGGTCCCCAGAGGATGTCATCCATAAAATTAAATCAGTGTGGCCTTACATCAAATGAAAACTTCATGACATGACGAAATTGTCAACCACCCTGACACACCATCTAGGCACGACATGTCAGAGAGAAAGCTGTCGATGTCTGCAGTCTCTCAGACAATGGCGAAGCGTGTAATACAAGACGTGGAACGCAGTCTGACCGTTGACACGAATTTACGCAAACAACAATATATGTACAACTCTATTAGAAACAAGAAAATTGTTTATGGTCAAGAACAGCAACTGTATCGAGAATAGGTCGAGCTGCTGTGAACAGTCGTGAACTTTCCTTGGCTGAAGTACTGTGATATCAATGTCATAAGACAGAGCAAGGTTTTTCTTTATTAGCACAATGGGTGGGCGAGAGAAATAATCGTTTTGTCATGTTGTTATAGTGGTGGTATTTCTATTACGATCACCATCTTGGTAATTTTAGTAGGAAGTATTTTAAAATAACATATTTCAAGTCAGTTTAGTTTCAAATAATGTAAATTGTAAATAGACGGAATAATAACTAAATTAAAAACAATACCAGTATCATAATATGCGTTATTTCACAATTTGTTTGTCTATACTGACAGCACACTTTGCGAAATTATTGAAGTGGTGATAACACGTCTTTACGGGGAAAACTTGAAAACGCAATGAAGGAATTATTCACGTTATTATATGTAATATTGGATTCCAGGGCTGCTGAGTTCACAAAAGTACAAATGCAGCAGTGTATTTGCCAGGACTTAATCAAGTTGGCGACCATGCTTCCAGTCGCATCGTAAATTAACCAATCTTAACCCAATAGAATCAAGAGTCACCGGGAACTCAATAAATCAAAATACTTGTTTGCAAAATGTAGTAAACATTAAACATTATAAAATCATGTCATGAAATATAAAATGTAAATTTAACTCTAGCCATAGAGAGACTGAAACAGGAACATACTATAGTGTGATCCCACCTGCTGTGCTTTAACCCTTTATTTGAGGTATTCGAACTTTCTATCCACATGAGACGGACTACTAATGTGGCTGAGGTTGTGCTCAATGACATGTTGACCTCCATCTATCCGATTCAGTGTGATCATAGTAATTGGATATGATAATATGTCAATATTATTCACAGTGTCTCAACAACTGACAGTTAATACATTATTTAATATATGATGAATTGAGTCTATTGTCAGCTTTTCCACTTAAATATCTACCTTGAGTGCCCCCAAATCGTTGATTGTGATATTGGAGAATGTGATACCTTCGCCATTAATGAATTAGTAATTTAGTAGGTTTGTGGATCACTATAACATTATGTTTGGGCGAGTGATCAATCAGCGCATTTGTATGAGTAGATTGATGCAGGGCACAAATACCATATATACCATAACCCAAACTAACGCTGTTGGCTGCTTTAACTTTACAATGTCGCATGACCACAAGTTAGCATTTGTTTCATATTCGTATTTTCACATTAAACGTTATAAGTAATTTTTATGACGATCTGAGCAGTAATCTTCCGTGGTTATTCTATTCATCAGGATTGACCCACAAAAATTAGGTTCATAATTTAGTTAAAATCATGCATAGATATTCACCAGATAAAAAACATGATTATCAAAATGTAATAATTTTTTTTAACTTATGTTACACTAATAATAGAAGTTATGTGGAATTTACTAGATTACAAGTTGTTATACATTGGTCTAGCTATGTCAATTGCTGCTATACTACATCCGATTCTAAAAAATAAAACTTGCATGTTGCTGGAGGACATACTTAAATACTGAAATGTCAAGATTTGCGATGTATTGTAACAGGGTTGGGCTGCAGTTAAATGCATGTGCATTTACATATGAGAAATTGCATGATATATCGTTTCATTTGTTGTGTGTTGAAGGTTAAAAAAGAGAAGGTATATATATACCATGGGAAGCAGGCATGAACTTGAAGAATTAGGTTTAAACGCAGAAAAGAAAGGCGTTCTACCAAGAAGTTCTCAAGTATCGGAACCCGAAGATGACAACGTTGTTAAAAAGATTGTTGATGGATTTTTGAACAGCACCACAGTGGCTGGTTTGCCACGTATATTTGAAGGAAGGGGACCTATCGTATCTTCATTTTGGGATGTCGCTTTCATCCTGGCTATGGCGGCTTCCGTGTGGCAAATTGAAATAATTTTCGAACAATACTTTGAGAGAGATGTTAACGTCAGGGTAAGGCATGCGTATACTGGTAAGGTTTTATATATTATGTGGCAACCATGTCCACCATCATTTCAATTCGCGTTTTAAATATTGTTTCATGTGATCCCGAATTGATAAAATCATTTATATAACCCTTTTGGGGTAGGATTTAAGAAAGGCTTATGAATGACCAATAATGACCATGGTTTATTTGTCACAATGCTTGATATCACAACATGCACCTTTTAACCCTTTGAGACTTTTTTGGCCTTTTAACGTTCACGGTGATCAGCGGAGTCAATGCACCCTCATCGATAGACTCAGAAGGAAATTAATAGAATTATATGTACATGATTCAAGTAAGATTAAATTGTGATCCGTCTGTGATGTATGTGAAATCCACTCCCTCTTAGTGGTTATTTTAGAAAGACACCGGAAACATCCCTTAGTATTCTATTCCTATTAACCTTTCTTACACGTGGAATTCCCGGACACGACATGAATTTGTATGTGAATAGCTGCTCACTTCTATATTTCAAACTACCCGTTTCAAAACAAATGAAAATCGACCGTAGAACAGCATAAGCTATTACTAGTAGTATTTTAAGTATTCGACTGCAAAGCAACTCGTGATTTTGTTGTACAAAGTTTAATTGTTTACATGTGATCACATCCTACCCACATCCTACCCTCAACGAAAAACAGATCGTGGAACAAACAGTGAGATTTCGAGGGATGGTAAAATATAAATCAAAAACAGATGGGGAGCGCGTTTTTTATTCGGGGTGAGCGCCTTGAAGCCATTGAAGCGGAACATTGGAGGAAAACAGATTTGAAACCCAAATGTATGAAAACTAATCTAGCCACAATGAACTAAACCAGTATTGATGTAAATATACACTTTAAAACCAAACAATATAGTAAGCGTACGAAGATTCAGTCACAATAAATACGCTACCCTGAGTGCGCATAATCCATTCCTTGTCGAATGCATTCGCGTATCAATGAATTTTCTTTGAAATTTCACTTTAAAATGTGATCGAGATCTCCCGGCAGACAAAAACTGTTTAAAAATGGGTAAATGGGTGCGTGTCGCCGTATGATTGTTGAACGTCATAACGATCAAAGAGTTGAATGGTGTCACGTGAATTCTAATATTAAGTACTTGTGCTTTGAATTCGTTGTTGCTATATGCCACTTTCTAAATTGGCTATCTAAACGCGTCCATGCTAATAAATGATTGTTCACTATAATGAATGGGAAGAAATAAAAGTGGTGTGTTTATGTTTTTATTGTAAGAACCAGAATACTCAAAGGGATAAAAGCTGTGCTTATCAATATATGGTATCGATTAATATCGATCATTATGCGCTGGCAGCGATTGATCACGGATTATAAATACGTGCAAACAATACACGTGTCTTTTTATTTTACAGATAAAGGTCGTCACAACTCAAGGCTTACCTTTTCCCAGCGTTTCAATCTGCAACACAAATAAATTTCGTAAATCTGCAATATCAATGTCGCCATACTCCAAACTTGTAACTGTTGACACCGAAATAGTACGGTCATATTATGGTAAGTGCGTAGTAACATGTCTTGTGGAGATATTCATATTGACGGGGTGAACGGTTCTGAACAATTGTATATTTCAATCGGTCAGTAATTGTGTAATATTCATATTTTGAGGCGTATATTCAATAGTGTAATATATGTTTTTTTTCATATCCTTGCAACCTTACGAAATGCGCTGTCGACCGAACACTTCAACCATGTGCTAGTGTTTTAGCATGATTTATTAACCGATGTTATCTTAAAACGATAGTAAATGAAAATTACACAGTGTCCAAATCCCTTCAAACAAAAAAAATCGGTGCATTATATTTGCAGCTCTTCAGTGTCTTGAGGGAGATTTTCCATGCAATAATAGTGGGTGTATCAAGCCATATTTACTTTGTGATGGTTATGATAATTGTGGCGATAGAAGTGACGAAAAAAACTGCGACTATGGTGAGTTCTATGTCGACTTCTTTCTCTTTTACCAATTCAGAGATCTAGGTATTATACATATTTGGAGAATACAACGAATATTTGTTAACAACGTGTGACTAGTCATTGTTGACTGAACGTTAACATTATGCTCAAACGGAAGTATTCTAGGATTTTCTCATTTATTTTTTTACAAAACCAAATGGCGCCAGCTGTGTTAGCTTTATGTTAAGCAGAACATCAACGTTAATGAGAAGTTTATTTTTCTCGAAAAGATCTCAACAATACCACAGTGTGCTGTGCCACATTGTTCTTGCTCTACTTAGTTGATCCTTCCCTAAGAAGTACTAATTCAATTTTGTAATTCAATTAGATAATCAGTTTATTCAGTTGCGAGTGCAAAACGTAGGCTATCTGGTTAGGCTATCTGGTGTCGGATATAAAACATGTCTTCACAAAATCGGATGACTAAGTTGCGACTAGATGGATCTTGTGCACGTTAATAAACATGTAATAATAATTAAGAATAAAATGACAATGATTTGATTCTGAAGTATTTGTCCTGGCAATCGATACATTGAAATATGAGCACTGACTATAATACGTTACCATGCTTTTTTCTAAACCTTCATGAACTATAGGCAGTTGCAGCAACGATCTTTTTAAATGCAAAACGGGAAGTGATTTTGGTGTTTGCATTAACCTCAACTCAAGATGCGACAGAATATTAGACTGTTATGGGGGAGAAGATGAAGACGACTGCGGTGGGTTGATAGTTTTAATGGCATGAGACTAATTTGTTAAATTGTAATAGAAATTTAAATAGTTAATTTGTTTGTTGTTTTTGTTGCCCAGTGATAAATAAATTCGTTTCAGATGTGTCCACCTCGATCTCTACAGTGTAGAGTTTTACCGAGACTGTAAGTAGTACCACTGACAATGACAATATTTGTATTCCAGAGTGTATAGATAAGAAGGAATACAAATGTTCGGATACTGGTCGCTGCATCAAGTCTTCTAAACGGTGTGATGGTGTAGACGACTGTGTAGATGGCAACGATGAGAAAAACTGTGAGTTTTGTTATTTCCTGTCTAGAAAGCATGCAGACAAACACGCACCTAATTATATTTGCCAGTAACACACATAATTATATCAGCTTATGCGCCTGCACAGACATTGCAAGTGATCGCTGCTATCTTCTTGTGGTGTCAAAATATTTCCCCCAATGAATCACCTTTAATTGATGGTCAGATCTAACAATTCAACAACTGTTTTTGAATGGTAAATCATTTGCCAAGATGTAATATGCTGACAGTTTTTCAAATATCACAGCGTACACAACAGCTATACATCACATGATTTGTACGCAAAAAAACTAAACCGAAAAAAAAAACAACGAAAAATGTCTCTGTGAAAACGATTCTAATTAGTTCGACCATACACTGCGTTATCACCTAGAGAGATATTGTGCGACGGACGAAACGATGAAGGCGTATTCACACCAGATTTAAATTCAGATAATGATTTTATTTTAGCACAAATTAAAAATATTTTGTAGGGACTAAGAAAATCTAGGAATTATATAGGAAAACATGACATTGGCTATCTACGACGTTAAACACGACATATTAATAATTACTAAACCCAATCAACGGCCATTTCAGGGCCCCAATATCGAGGACTATCGTAATCTTCACATTCAATAATAAATTTACGCATTACCGAACCACGATAACACTCACTACTCCGATACATGTTTCAGTGAAACTCCACATCAGCACGGCTTGCGAATTTAGCTATATCCTGACTGACCATTTTGTAAATAGCATAATATTAACAAGCGATTATAAAGATGACTGAACATTTAGTATGTTTTGTGAGTGTTTAACACACATTGATGGGCACATTTCGGGTTTTGTACTACGTGAATTATCATGATAAAAATACACATAAAAACTAATGTAATAAATCAAATTCAGACGTATGTGGACATTTGAGACACGATTTGTGCTTGACGTTCTACTGTAACAAGTTGTATCGTAAAGAAAATGTATAAAATTTTGACTGCAATGTTTCAATGCTGATTACAATCACGACAAGGTTTGTCTAAACATACTTAAACTCAATACGGACGCTCATAGTAAAGCAATTTTAATAATAAAAACTATTAGAAATAGAAATAGCACGAAACGCCTACTCGTGTATTTTTCCCTAAAGTATATTGATAAATGTATAGAAAAATATGCACATACCTAATATTGAGTTGTACAAAAAGCACAATCCAAAAACCATTATTAGCAAATATTAGATATTTTCATATTTGTTTTTGCATTGCTGATTATGTGTTTCTTTTTAAATGTTATGATTTTTGTTCCATTCCAGTTAGTCCATTTTTTTTTCTTTGGGGGATCTCTTCAGTAAAAGAGAAATATTCTCACACCAATTACAATGTATTTTGCATATCGTGCATAAATTACTTATTTGTTCGTCTATGATATATTATATCATAGAAATATTAACCCAGGCCGAGGTGGATATGTAGAAGTGAATATTGTTGACCGAGGCAAATCTGTATATGGACCTTGGCTAGGTCAATATTTGTATATACCGATTAAAACAACCATTTGTAAAAGGCTGAATTTCACCATCATTGCTGGCCATGTTTTGGCAACATCCCGAATGTTCTCAATTCATTGGTAGCTGTTTCATCACACTTTGTATGGTTCCCATGTATTTATATTCCATAATCCTTTTCAAAATATACTGTAATAATTACAATGTGTGTAGGTATCACTGGTTACCGGCGACTGTTTGACACTTTAGAAGCTGCGACGTTTACACACGACGCGTGCAATACATTTTACTTGATGAGATAACTAGAAGCATTAAACGACGCCAATAAATCACGGAATGCAGTGCGAAATTGAAGTAATAAACGCTAGCTATGTGTACGGTACGGCGACTGTGGTCGGTCCTACCGATATAGTCGTGTTGTTCGATGACTATCTCACGGTCAAAAATATCCACATAAAACATAACTCGTCCAATGTAATGGAATATACATTGTTGGGCAAATAATACACAAGTAAAGGTGAAACTTAACGCCAATATGTGTGTTTACGCCCTCTCTTGTTCGCTTCGCACTGTTCTATGCATGCTCTGTTTTCTTCATGTATTAAGAAATATTAAGAAATATGAGTTATTTCCGCTTGTTTAGCGCTCCAACTAAAGTGTCTTGTTGTAGTCCAAGCTTTCTATACAACAGGTCTTTCAAGTCAATTATGCAAATACAAGGACCATCAATTGTACGTGTCTGATTGGCTACGATGTATAATCATAAATTATCTTATATTATCGGTTCACATTCAGGCTCACTCAGCTACAATTGTCCAACACGTTCTTTCAATGTGATGATGGACGTACGTGCTTTCCACAATATTATCGATGTGACGGCGATTTTGACTGTCTAGACAAAACGGACGAAACAGGCTGTGCAAATCGATCAATCAGTGATGGTAATTATTACTCATATATTGTATCTAATGTTTATTTGTTGCCACAATAAGTCTGGCTAGGCTAGGATTGGCTAAGGGACAGATACATTTTTATAACTAATTTGTTTAATGATGTTGAATAAAAATAAATCAAAGTTGTGCATCATTAAACACGTTTTGCAATTTTACCAATGTGATTTGTCAGTGTCATTTCGGACTTTTACAAATGTATGCGATCATTGATTAATTGATTTATCTTATAATTGAACGCCCAAGCAAGTAAAGTTATTCAAAGATAAACATAATAAATATATACTTCTATTATTAATATTGTTATTGCCATATATTTGTGAGTCATGCTGCCGTGCATGAATAACATTAGGTAAATATGTTCTGTTATTGTTATTGAACTTATTATACTTCTAAAATAATAAAGGAAAAACGGTAAGTATTGTCAATGTTAAAGTTTCAATAACATGATAGCAAACATTTATTTGTTTGCAATTTTCTCTATTCTCTGCAAGTCAACTGTAAATAACCCAACTATACAATAATATGACGCTCACTCATATCACATTTTTCTGCGATGAAATTACCAACTGAGAGGGAGTACACCAATCGTTATTTGGTTCGTGACACAACTGACAAGCGTACAATATACATACTTTTTGAATATGTACTTTTATTTCTATAATGCATTCGAAGTGAGAAAACCGAATTCGTATTTTTTTAGATAATGTTACCTGTCCAGACACTATGTTTAAATGCGAAGAAAAGTGTATACAGGATATGTGGGTTTGCGATGGATTTGTGGACTGTCTTGATGCCAAAGATGAAATTGGTTGTCATATATATGGTGTTATTGGTAAGATGCACCCCATAACACAGCTAATCTCAACAATTCCAATTGTACAAAATGGACAATGAATATGAAAACTAGTGGTGCACGTGGTTGACAATTTTAAATGTTTTCACAGCCTGCAACGACATGGAATTTCTCTGCGATCTCAGTCAATGCATTCCTAACACGTGGCTTTGTGATGGAATGGCCGATTGTTTCGACGAAACTGATGAAGACATGCAGAATTGCTACGGAGGTAAGTACAGGGACTTTTAAAGGAATATAAATAAATATAGTATTACAAAAAACAGCCTGATCATGGTATGAATAGAAGCACATTACCTGTTGTGTGACGATGGTCCATCTTGCAAATAACAAGGATAGAGTATGAACCGCAGTGGTCTATGGGTCTTTTATTAGAAGACAAGACGAGAAGAACAAACGCAAGAAACTGTGGCACAACAACTCATTATTTTTACAAAAACAGTCTCAGTTAAATCCGAAAGCACATCAATTTTTAATGTAACATGATACATACACAAAAAGACCTACCTCAAGTTAAGTTTGTCAATACATACAAACGATAAAAATACGAAAACTCGTCTTTATGGTGAGAAACCTGCCAATTATATTACAATCACTTTAATCATCACCATTCTAACGAATCTAGTATAACACTAACACCATTATCAGCATGATCTCTTCATTCTCCAGTTCCAACTCCTATATGTTGTACATCACTCCATTTGACGCGGGGCTACATATGTTCTACTATTACCAAATCAGCGAACATTTCACGACTGTGTTTCATGTGCGCGCCTGTATTGAGTATACAGTCCAAGTGGCGAGGAATGTAAACAAATAACTTATTACCGACCGACTGTCCGCATTCGTACACGTACCATTTACTCCATTTAAACTTTCATCCAGGACGCTTTCTTAATTTTTTGGGGGTGGCTTGTTTATTTCATGTTATAAAAGGTATCTGCAACGTTTTCAATTATTTACCGAAATCCTGACATCGTGTCCATTTAACCAGACAAAAAACTTCTTGACTTTACCCAGTATATTTTAAATATTGATGTTTACTTTAGCTTTAAACAAACGTGTAAGAAAAATACACATTTCTCTGATCGACACCAAAACAATTAACTCAGATTTTATTGGCCAGAAGAGATTCACTTACCACACTTACACACTCCACAGTGCATCCAAAATATAAAATTGTTCTTGTCGCAAAGAGTAGCGGTTTATACTGAAATATCCCTCTCAAAACATGTGTATGCTGTCTCTCATTTTCGAGTCTGTATATAGACTCCAGGCCTGTTGACAGGAAACGATAATATCTGTTGGTAATAAGCATCTTTAATTTGATAATCATTGTCTGAATAAATAAATAAATAAATAAATACATTTATTCATTTTGAGTTCTATTTAATCAATAACAGTTTATCTCAACAAGATTGTGCTACACTACACTACATTTACCACAGAGGGCTTCATTTTATTAGGAGAACGGGAAATATAAATTCACGTTTAATCTTCACAGGTGTTGGAGAGTGTTTTTTCGATAGCAGAGGAATAGATTATCGAGGTACGGCAAACATCACTGTTGGCGGCAACATATGTCAGAAATGGAACGCCCAAACACCACACTCGCACATTTATACACCACATGAATACAACAGCAGTGGCATTACAAATCATAACTATTGTCGCAACCCAAGTGAATCATCCGCGACGTGGTGTTATACAACAGATCCAATGGTGCGATGGGATTGGTGCGATATTGGTGAACCTGGAGTGAATTGTAGTAAGTAACAATGTTTGAGGACATTTGTACAGTATTTGTATTTCTACCATGTGTTCAACACCATATTACAACTTAAAATAATAGTATGTACAACTTCATAATAGTGAGTTCGGGTTCCAGCTTGGCCATATTTATTCGACAAACGTCGGCATAAATGATCATTTAAATGTAGTATACTCATCGTAGTTACAACAATTCATTGAACAATATTGTTTATTTCAAAGTTAATATGGTTACAGCCATTATTGAAGTCATCTTTGTCAACATAGTCATATTGATGAATCAAAAGGATTGTATTATTGAAACATATTTTATATTGTTGTTATTTTTTGCAGAAAAGCCTGTTGATGCCTGCTATAACTTTGAATTGAGATGTGACGAGACGTGTATACACAAAATGTTGCTCTGTGTTGGTATCAAGCACTGTCCTTCAGGAATCGATGAAGAGAACTGTGGCGTAATACGAAACAATAGTATGTTTATACAAAAGAGTAAGGTGACAATACGAGACTAACCACAATATTAAGTCATATATATAATGGACTAATATGTGAGATGTCGCCATGTGACATAATGTCATTGTTTGCTACTTCGTGTGCTTGCCTGTTTCGGGCCTGTATCTATTATTTGTATTACAGGTGAATGTTTCTACGGTTTTAATGGTGAAGACTACAGGGGGTTGAGGAATTTCACCATCAAAGGCAAGCCATGCCAGAAATGGACGGAGCAAACACCGCACGCACACGCATACACTGAACACGCGCTCAATAACAGTGCCTTTGGAGATCATAACTATTGTCGTAATACAGGTCGCGATCAGGCAACGTGGTGTTTCACCACTGACCCGGCAGTACGTTGGCAGTGGTGTTCTATCGGTGATCCAGGATTGAATTGTGGTATGTAGTAGAACTTGTGTATATTTTGCTAGCTACGTGTTATTACTGCCATCGGTATTACACGCTGACTCATTTTAGTACCTGAGTCTAATTAATGATTTACTTAGTCCGTTTTTTCTGGTTTCACATTAGTTATTGTATATACAAAACAGACCAACGCGGCACCATATTATTATTAAATTCTTATATTCAAAATTCAACATTCAGTAAGTGCAGTGTTCCATCGCCGTGTCATTTTACGGGCATTCTGTGCACACACTTCGTTCACAATTTCTTGTTGTCCCATTCTGTTCAGACAACACCCCGTCCCCATACCGCGTGAATCGGTGAAATATATTTTCATCAATGATTTTTATATCGATAACCCAACTTTCTTCTTAATCTAGAAACGCGATGAAACGTTCTGTTGTTGTGAAAAACGTATATATTGCGAAATAAACAACATGAGTTAGTAATAGCTCGGTATCAATTTGACTAAAAATACCATTTGCTTGGCGACTAAAACAAAACCCTACCTACCTAATTGTATCATTCACATAAATATAATTATGTTGCGGCAAGTGTTACAGATTGGTCACTTTTGATCATAGTATATGGTGCTCCACATATTGCAAGAATATTCATTATGAAATATATGTGTTGCATCGTTATATTAATATGCATTATATCATTATACTACTAGGGGATACTTGTGATAAACCAAATTTTGAATGCAGCGACTCCTTCTGCATTCCTGGTGACTGGGTATGTAATGGAATCCGTGATTGCTTCGAAGGAGAAGATGAAGCAGGATGTGAATATAGTACGTATATAGCAACACGTGATACAATGCAAAATATCAGATACTATTTTAGACAGGGTGGTGCCACATTTGGGGCTGGCTGCAAAACTCAAAGAAATCGTATGTAGATTGTTTTTTATATACGTGTATGACGTCGCCAGGATTTTCTGAAATTTAAATGTGATTGTAGGACAACACAATACGAATATGTCCAAAAACATAAACGTATCTTTTCTACATCACTTATTAGGCACAGATGTATTTATTTGTGATGGCGGGAAACGTACAATTAATATTCATTTTCTATGTGACTACTATTTTGACTGTGAAGATGCTACCGATGAAGAGCCAAGAAACTGTCCAAGTAAGTTCAAATTAATGAAATTAATGTCCTTTAAAAATATAAAAAGTCAATATTCTTATATATATCTCTATATTATTTGTTTCATTGAAACGCTCTTGCTACTGGCTATATTACATTGCGCTTTTCTCTACACAAGATTTGGTTATTGTGACTAGTTTTTATTATACAAATGAACACCCCAACAGAGGTAGACATAAAGTTTTCGCGACCTGAAGAGCTCATTGTCAATTGGCTCTGAACGCAAACCTGGCAAACTAATCAGTTCATGAATATTGCCGCGTATCGTGTTCCCTCAACAAATCAGGCAAATTCAGGAATAAGGTATCTGGATGGAGGTAGACATACGAATATGGCAGCGGGTCGACACACGAATATGTCTACCTGCAATACGCAAATCTGATTGGCTGTCATGGCCATGATGTATAATATAATGATATGTCACTAATGTGATACGTCGATGGCTTATATTTAAATCAATCGTGTTCAAACTATGCTATTTGTTTACGACATCGTGAAACAAGATACACAGCTTTATAATGAAACAAATTAAAAATATATATTTCACAGACATGTCATTTAAAATAGATCGTTTTTAAAAGTGCTTATGTTCATTTTTCGCATTTTTCTTCTTCTCAGATGTGACAATTCCAAAAGCACCGGGTGAGTTTTCAATTTTTATTTACGGGGCTATTTATTTGTTATCGGCAATTCCAGTTCCGATTCAAGAACACTTTGTCAATACAAAATATGAATTATATAGCACATCTCTGTCCCCACCTAAATTTTAAAAAAAAAAACATGAAATGGACCTTTTTTATTCAGGATTACGAAAGTACAACATTGTTCAACTATGATATGCTTAGATAATACTATTATTTCTTTGACCTTTATTGGTTTGCATATGTAAGTCACAATTGGAATAACGTATAACAAAAGAACTGCATACATAATTATTTTCCAGATAGTAGTTATGGAAACTGACCAAGCATATCATGATTTATTTGTGATATTTATGATATTTGTTAACAAACACAGTATTAGTGATAACATGCTCACATTTTCAGGTTTCCCAGTTTTCCGATGTTTTTCAAATGGTAAAGAAGTACCACAGTTTAAAGTGTGTAACAATGTGATTGATTGCAATGATGCCAGCGATGAACTTGAATGTGCACATGGTAAGCTGATTTTGCTTTTTGAACATCTCAATTACATTTCGATTGTGATTTACACAATCAAAATCGAATTGAGATGTGCCGTCTAACTATACATCACAAGCTTTTTCTGTGGCAGTTGAATTTTTTAGTACATGCCGTTGGAAACATGTTAATGCTTGTAAACAATTGTGACATGTTTTACATCCAAATTATCAAAATTCATACCATCTGAACGCAGGAAAGGGAGTCAATTCTCACATCAACTATGGATTGGTAGACTTATCCATTTAAAAATAAACCAGGAAGAAGGCCAAACAATTTTAGTTACAGTTACATGATCTACAATTATTTTTACATATTCCAGGTGAACGCGCAGATTATCATTTGACTGCAGCTGGTTTACATTCACTATATTCTAGCATTACTAATGATATGAACGTATTCAACGAATTCGTGGATAATATATACCAGGACCATATGCTAGGAAGAGTAACTCATGAAAATCCACCAGATTGGAACGGGTTCATCGCTTACAGCAACGCGCCTGACAACAGTGATCTGGTGGATGTGTTGAAACTTCCCGTTGAGAAAACAGCAAAATATGGCCATCAGCTAAATGATTTTGTATTGGAATGTACATTTGATGGTAACAAGTGTAATATGAGTAGGTAGGTTTTTTGTTATTATGTTGGCGAATGTAATATGTTCTTACATTTATATACATATATATTCTGTTTATCGAGTCATGATCATAACTGTCTACAGCTGACATACATGTACTATTATTCGTCTTCATTCTGATTTGTAAATCGAAAATTCAACTAGCGATACAAAGTGCAGTTTTTCTGCAAAAAATGCCTACGTCATTCAACTTATCATCCTGTTGAAATTTAGACGAAGATATTATTACTTCCACATTAAAATGATTTCATGTCAGATATGCTGTTTCACAATAGCTGTTTCAAAAATTTATTTCATCGATCCGATCTTAATTAGAGTTCATCACAAATAATATTGTAAATAATATTGCACAGAATGATTGTTCTTACCAAGAATACATGTGTCTTGAAACAGTATTCTGACAATTCCTAGTATGGTGATGTCAATTGCGTGACTGTAATGCGCAATAGTCAACTGTGATTAAAGTATAACGGCTCCCATTCTCCTAGTTTTTATATTGACTGACCTATTGGCACTCACCCAACAAGTATTTAGAGGGTATTGTTTTAGAAAGTATTTTTCAGATATGTTTTCAAACGTTTTGTCATATGAAACAAATACATACACATCTGAAACAAACCAATCCTTGCGCAGTATCTAAATATCTGAAGAAAAATAAAAACCATATTACTGACTCTTTATACAAAACTTTGTTTTTTCCGATGAAATAAAATGTATTTTCTACACAATTTTTTTTCAGTGATTTTAAAGAGTTTTATGATGGTCGTTATGGCAACTGTTTTCAATTTAACCCTTACAACAATGACAGGAAACATGGGCATTTCTCAACGAAAACTGGTGCCAAATATGGTTAGTAAATGAATAGTCCATGTTTGATTCTAGACTATACATGTTCACCCTTTTTAGCTCCGCTATCGACTTTGTCAAGCGGAGCTTATTATATGAGTGATTGTCGGTCGTCGTCCGGCGTCGGCGTTTTAATGAATACTTTTGTCATTTTTGGTAAAAAAGTGATATTTTCAACTCATTGTTGAAAAACGCAAGTTTGATTGCTTTGATATCATATATGTATAGTTAATACAGATGGACCTCTCTCATATTTGTTCATTTGATGATGATATCTTCAATTATTATATTGAAATGTGCTTTGCCATCTGCGGAGCTATCTCAGCCGCTGCTTGTCCCCGTTTGGACACAGTCCGGACCTGTATCTTAGACATGCCTGTACCAATCACAATCAAACTTCACACATACATCGCACATAGTATTATACACATACACATCAATTTGTTTCACGGTCTGATTCAAGATGGCCGAGAGGCGGATATTTTTGTGCTGAAAAATCATCAAAATCAAGCATTTCTCGGCTGTTACAGATGGATTTTGTTCAAACGTGGTATATACATTAGACATTATGGCACCTTGATGCAAGTTATTTTGTTTTTCAGATAAGATTCAAAATGACCGACTGGCGGCCATTTTTCTCTAATGAATGTGGGTCTAGTGCCATATTTCTGATTTGCTTTGACTGATTATGTTCAAATTTTAGTAATACATTAATTTCAGGACTGAAGATGACGCTTTTTACTGAGCAAAATGAATACATCAGTATATACGGACGTGATTCCGGTGCAAGAGTCGTGATTCACCATCCAACATTGCGTTCCATGCCCGAATCTGAGGGAATTACAATACCGCCAGGAATAATCACATCGCTCGGGATGAAGGAGGTGTGTTTTCGTTTAATGTTTTGAATAATTCACAAAACATATTTAGTTATCGGAAAAATCAATGCACTATGTCTGATATAATAAAAATAAAGTATGGGACTGATAGATAATGAACAATCAATATAGCTACAGGATATTACAAATTTATTCGAAAGGCATTCAGGTCCAGGGAGTATAAATCCAATTACGTGGCTATGGTGAAATGATCATGGATCACATCACATCACATAATATACGTTAGAGATGATATTAAATGTATCAAAAGAGTATATTACAAGTCGTCATTGGGGCAGCTTGTGAAGTCACAGTCTAAACTTGCGTACAAGGAACAAGTAAATTTCCAACTGTTATAAATATCATATAATCTCATGAAATCCACACGATACTAAACATGTATATGAGTGTTTGTTAATTTCAGACCAGGATAAGTCGACAACCAGACCCCTATGGAAACTGTACTCAACAAAAATATTTTGATAAAAATCATGAATTGTTTTACTCTCAGACAGTAAGTAGGTATAAGAAAATGTACAACTTTACATCTATGTGTATATTCTCTATCTATTTCACATGTGGGTTTATTGCACGCCTGCTTTATACTAACATAAAATTTTACTGTTGATTGACCATTCTGAAAGTAATTAGCTTATCAATCTTCCTTGGACATGTGATAGTAACACGTGGTTATGAAAAGTACAAACAGTACAAACGTGTATTTTTCATAGAGTGGTTTATAATCGCTAAAATACCCTGTTTTCCTCGCCATCTATATTACTCCAGATATGTGAGGAGTCGTGCTTACAAGATAACATGTTAAAGTATTGTGGGTGTGTCGATACAATGTTACGAGGTGAACCTCAGTGTCTGTTGCTCAATAGAACACAGGGTAAGTTGCACATGTTTTTACATAAAAAATTAAACCAAGCAATCATAAGCGCAGCAATATTGATCTATGCTAGGGTTGTCAGTAAACCTATTTATCTAGTCAAAGCTGTGGGTTACGACGTCCTTGTCCGCATTTTAAAATACTGCAGCTGTAAACTTTAAGCATTTATATTCAAGCCAATCGCATAGGTCCTGTCAATCGCCACTGTCTTTTTACTTTCCATGATTTCCTTTGTTTTATACAACTAATTCATGTGGAGAACTACTTACAACATTCGCTTGGACGTTGTTTGTAAGTGAGATTGTTATATCTCATTTGTCAATTACAGATGTTAAGCAATATTTACCCATTTCTGCTTATTCATCAGATTCCTGCAAACAGCTGATACAATTTTTTGCCCGAAAGTTGTTATTGGGCTGCAAGTGCCCTCAGCCATGCACGTGAGTATTACGTCAATTAGGAGACCCAATGGCTATTTGAAATGATTGAGCCTGTTATATTAATATATTATTTATTTTTACGCTTTCAATTTCAGACAGAGTTGGTACTCAACAACAGTATCACAGTCGTTGCACCCATCAAATAGTTTTCTTGTAAGTGCACGCAATTATCTGAATTACATCACATAGATTACACAATAAATAAAAGAATGTGATATTATTCTTTAAATATCGGGATAACACAATCATAGAGAAGTTGCATACTATTTCAAGTCATGTCAAACTAACCTTGAACTAATGTCCCGCCATAGCCATTAACATGAAAAGGCGGCCTTTAAATAAAGAGAAATGCAGGAATAACAACAAACCAAAACAACATACAAGTTCTTAACCATTATAGACAAATTAGCTCAAAAACACAAACTGAATGAATAAATAATATAGTGTATACGATGATGCATCGTGTTTAAAAAAACGAACACAGTCTTCCCTACCCGATATATATATATATATATATATATATATATATATATAATGAATTACATATTGCTTAATGTATGACCTAAATCTCTTTTCAGCAACTTTTATACTAGCACACTCATCGAGTGCGTTTGGATTTCGCGTAAACACGCGTATTGTATTCGTCCCTTGAGACTCGCATCAAACGCGCTTTGATGCGTCTGCTATGTACCTTTGATAAATGCAATAATAAACGGCACGTGCACTGATGGCTAAACAGCTGAAATAGATTTTAGCTGAAAACACCAGCTAATGGAAAGGCATTTCACTCATTCCTATTAGCAGACCGTGCAACTAGGATAAGTTTATAGCTCATAATAATCAATTAACGTTTAAATTAGTATCAAAAAGTTATAATCTCTGTCTGTGTTTAAACATTGCCAACAAGACAACTGTATGGTTATGGAAATAGGCCACATGATCAAGACTTTTATAAGTGTTTACACTTTCACATATTAATATTTTTTTTTGCGAATTTTGTTTGAAACAGAAACATTTACTGAAACAGATTCACCATAAAAACGCGAAGACCAAAGTGATCAATGACTTGGAGGGTTTTAGGTACGTCTTAGAGTATATCACGTGAGATAATGTATGTGTGTTTTCAATATCTTCTCATAGTCCATTGAAACAAGAATAAAATAGCTGAATAGAATCACAGAAGTATATTAGAATATCTATACAGTGGGTATAACCAAGGGATTTCATATTCAGATATTGAATGACAAGTTAATTACCATTGCAGTAAACAAACAACAATAGTTTGTAATGTTCAAATTAAATTTGGTAACATTTTATTTTTCAGCAAATTTTGAACCGTTTTCGGCAATTATTTCCTGAATAATCCATGTAACGCAGTGCCAACATTGTTTTCTGTATGTATATAGGATATAAACTTGGTGAGAATTTGCCTGCTAATGCAAATTCAGTATTCATACAAACCTGTATAAACAAGTGACATGATAGTGAAAAATGTTACCTAATAAGTATCAATCCAAACGCCCTGACAGTTTTGCCGAAAAATAAAGATTTGATGACATCATCACGAAATGATCAAATCAGAACTTAAACTACACATTACTATACATTATCAACATATTAATTTGCTACATTTTGGTCATTTGTTTGTTATTCACAGTCCAAACAATTTCACATGGAAAATTATTAATTGTGACACTATGCACATGGAAATACAATACTAGTACACAACTCCAGCACAAAACTCTGACTTTCAGATTTTTGGAAGAATACAAATCAAAATATAAAAATGCTCATCAAATATGACCTAGAAATGCAATGCAATCATGAGATTTAAGAAAAATGAAATTTTCACCTACATAACATCGTAACAACACTTTTCCATCTCCCCCACCTGACATTTATATCAAACCCCAACTTAACGGTTTTCCAAAAATAGTTCCATTTACAAATCACAAATTTACACCTGAGGAATTAACACTATGAGGAATCTACACTTCATATTCTCGCTAGCAAATTAGTAGTTAGAACATTGAACATTGTTCTGCATGATTGGCAGATACTATGCTTTATTTTTTACTTTATATGTAGTGGAAACCATTCTCTTGCCTGCGAGTTCATGATTAAAAGGTCATGTGATCATATGCGCACATGTGATTATACGTAAATTATTGTATAAATATAAGGGGAGGGTAAATATAATAGATGACGGTATTCAGTACAAACAAGCTAACGCCTGTAACAGAAAGCATTACTGGATACCATTGAAATAATTGCCAATATATTAAATATACGTATCAACCTATAGCAACAAGTTCAAGAACTACATATAGGTTCTTGCTCAATATACCAATCATTGTTTCGACAATGACAAATACATAGCTACATGATTCAGGAGCCAATTAACTGTTAGTCGACCATTAGTTTTAATTCAGTTTGTTCTCTACCAGTTTTAATTAGTGTTCTAATCAGAGTTTTACTTTGCTAATGGCTAATATCAATCTATATTATACGTAATTGTGGCTAAAAGTACGCAGTGTAATTAATCATTTGACGTATTTTCTCTCCAGGCAAAACATTGTACAGCTAGAGGTGTACTTTGAAGAACTGAATTATGAAACTATTACTGAGGTGCCTGACATTACGGTGAGTTTCTCACACCAACAATATAACGTCAAATGCATTTGCACTTATATTTGTTCGGAATATTCGAGTTCATATACGAGTACTGGGTTTTATTTATTTTTTGATGATTTCTTTAACAGATTTCAAATAAGAGTTTTATATTTGCAGATGGAGAACCTGCTCGGTAATATTGGGGGTATACTAGGATTGTACTGCGGTTTTTGTGTCATGACAGTAGTAGAGCTTATACAGCTTGGATGTGATTTAATCCGGGCAGCCTGGATTAAGAAGAGTAAGACACACTAGATATCATCATAAATCAATATTTTATTTGTGCGAATTATAAATTTAGTTTAGTTTCATTGCGTGTTATGTATTTTTCAATTTCTCACAAAATGTATAAAGGAATTATAAATAGACCTGTGACAACGTATCTGTGTGATAGTCGTATTGAATTCAGGCTAGTGCTGTTTAGTTTTCGATTTATAGATTTTTGCCTGGCACACTAAAAAAGCCAATCTTTTGTCGAACCTTGTCATCGATAAGGTGTGTCTGCCTCACAGTGCAGCCCATACACAAACGTAAAAGTGCATATAACTGGATTTTTGGCCAAACAGTTGGGTTTTTTTTTTGTCAGCTTTCTACACATTATCGAAAATGCTATTTTGAATTTCCACACAAATTGCGTGACCGAAACCGGCCAGGGGCGGATTAATTGAGCCCCGGAACACTAGGCAAATGGGCCGCTTCAAAGACTTAATATAATATAATATGTCATGAGCTGAACGTTTTAACACCAGGCCACTTCGAAATACTCGAACAACTAATAAAGATTCTGATATTTTAATTCGACGTGTACAAAATGTTTATAAAAATCGACAGAATAAACATATTAATTTGTTCATTAATTTAGGAAAATATATTTGTTTGGGGGCTTTTGTTCAGTTGTTACAAGACTGAATACTAAATTGTATCTTCTTGGACCCCGTAGACCCGCTTGACCTCCTTCTTATAACCCTGATAATAAAATATGATAACCAACGGCCCCATACCCGCAGCTTTCTTGTTAATGTTGGGCCTACGTCCTTACGATTGAGACAACCACCGACCCTACCCGAAATTACTATAGTCTGCACCTAGAAAAGTAGCAGTTTCTTTGCCGTCGCTAGAGTAAAGTTGGCTGGACCGATATCGAGGTCATGAAGCAGAATTATTTTGCTTCAAATGCGTGCAGCGAAATCAGATATTTAGTCCAAATTTCTGGATCGGTGTTTTGAACATTTGCACATGTCAGTCTATGGTGTATATGTACGTGGAGGGCGTCAAATTCAAAATCCGTAAAACAAAACCCGTTACAAATAAAATAGAATATTATGAAAAAACAATGGTCAAATAAATACAATGATGATAATGTATAAACTGTATTGGAAAGGGACTTATGACTATATATCATTTTGAAGTGAGTGGCAATTAATGTTTATGTTTTAACTATGTTAGTCAGCTTATCGCTGGTTGCTATGAACGTTAGCGTGGTTGTTAGGGACTTTAGGGATGGATACTTTAACTTTCTAAGTGCGAAGGCGATACTTTCATCCATGTTTACTGAAAACAAGTCGATGTGAATGTCCAATGTGTATAACTAATCTTTCAAAATCGGTGAGAGGTCACGTACATTAACATAGATAATATATGACATATACAGCTGTACTCTTATTCGTTGTCAATGCTCGTCAACGGCTTTAATTAGCATAATCACGGGAGTGCTTCCGCTCCAGTTTTTACTTCAACGCAAGGGGTCGCCTGCAGATGCGTCCAGTCGGGATTTCTTTCACAGTCACGCTAGTTTTCACGTTAAAAAGGCTAAATTGACAATTAATTATATTATTAATTATAAGTCTCGACTTTGCCAGTCCACGCTAGTCCCAAAATATGAATGTTGTCTGTGAATACTGATAGGAATATCCTATTAACATTGTATGGAAAATTTTAAATGAAGAGCGCCACCATTGGAGCCACTCATTACCTTATTTGATTATGAACGTGCACGTTCTCTAGAATATGAGAATCAGAATAAATCAACCATGTACGGGTTGTGGTGCATTTGATTACGTACCATCACGTGACACGGATCTGGCTGCGCGTGTGTGTTTCTTTCTTTGTTAATAGTGAGAGAGATGGCGTTGAGGGCGGAACTGTAAGAACGTGTGTTGACTGACCTCCGTAACGAACTAAACATTTCTCAAATTAGATGCTTAGCTTTCGTATAATTTTGCCATCAACTTGAGTTTAAGTATTGTTACTATTGAAGTAAGCCATTTATGGGGATCTCATGGAACCAAAATTTTTAAAAGGGCCCAGAATTAGATCTTCTACCAGCTCGTCCAGCAGTGAGATGGCGTCCATTGAAAACGTGAGTATTGAACAGTCTGCTATTACGCAACACGCTAAC